GCCTCAGCCTGCTGGGGGAGCTGTTTGACTGTTTGAAGCTGGATGAAGGACTGACTTCATCTCTGGTGTGTTCGCTGATGCTCGGACATCCCGACATTCAAATGTTCTGAAGCTTCGCTTTGGTTCGAGCGTTGGTTGTTGAACAGGACGAAGAATCTCAGCTCAAGTGCTGCTTACAGCCTTTTCTCCAGGAGGGACGGCGTTCGCTCAGTTGTCCTCACGTAAGACTGGAACTTAACTTTATTTAAAGGGAAATAAACGTGGACGGTCGCTGTTTCCCTGCAGGTTAATTAATGTCCAGCTGTACAGGAAACCTGTTCTCTTCAGAAACACTGATTTATGTTGAACTGTTTTTAATAAACCTTTTATTCAGTTTCTGTCGTGTATTTAATGTTACACTGATATTAAATGAGGCCAAAGTGTCAAATAATGAGGAAAACAATATAATGCCTCAGTGAGCGGAAAGCTCTGAATGTTTCCAAACTCTTTCTACTTTACTCGTCATCCTTTATTGTTGAGAGGAGCTATATTACCCATAATGCAGAGCAAGTTAGTGTTAATGGTGATATCTGCAGCTTCATTCCACACCATGAAGAGTGAACATACAGTGCTGAGACATTGCTGTCGGATTTATTAAGAAAAACACTGAAATACTTCATAAATGTTTGGAATCTGTCACTGCAAACTGCAAAGATTTTGTAATCACGCAGTGACACTAAGACGCGTTGAAGTTGCATTGAGCTGCGTCTTCTTGAGTTACTCACAGTTTAGTGAGTTTGTGTTTCACTGAGAGAGGATGGGAATCGAGAACCGGTTCCATATTGTTCGATCTGATTCGTATGCTACCGAGCTTATCAATTCATTCTATCAGTGCTGTCATGTTTGTCATGTTGTGATGCATTGAGGTTGAAAACGTTAGAAATATGTTTTTTCCACACAGAAAATTTATCAGGAATCAATAAGGGAATTGACAAAGACTCAAACCGATAAGCAGGATCTATAATGGTATCAATAAAATCTTCATCCCCGACCACTGAGGATCTTTGTCATTCTCTGTGGCAGGGAGGCAGCTGCAGTGGAAATATATTGAATATAAAATGAGGTTTTTTGGATTTATATTTACACTTTTGAATTGAACTTAATATAATTTCTGTTTTATCCTGTTTGACAAACTCTGCTCTGTAGAGGGCAGGAGGGTTCAACGACCAGCAGAGGGCGCTACAGGATGTGATAAACAACATAAGTCTAATAACATAAGACAAACATACAACATTAACATCAACATATTTTATTTAAGCAGCTCAGAACAAGCTGTGAACGTTTGTAGAACATAAAATGTGGAGCAGAGAGCAAAATGTTCATCATTCTTCCCTCTCAATAATAAACACAACAAGAACATATTACAGAGTGATGCTCAAAACTGCTCAAAATGACAGAAACCACCTTTATTCGATCTGTACTTGGTATTATTCATTGGAGGGAGTTTATGATCTATATCAACCTTTTTCTCTCATTGAGTTAACTGACATATTCTACAGCGGATCAACTGAACAGTGAACTCAATAACTGCAGGACATTTGTGTTATTAGATTATATATAATAGATTTTTAAATACCATTCTCTGTGTTATGTTTTTATTTTATTAACCATCACACAGACTTATACGTTATTTTACTAACTCAGACACATTTTTTAAACTTTACACAAAAGTAAAAAAAACATTCCTGATTGTCCTGATGATTCAGTACTTTTACTAGTTTGTTTTTCACTGTACAAATAAAAATGTCTAAATTAAGTCAGTGACACTTAAAATGACTAAAGTTACTTGATCAAGATTTTTTTTTAAATGACAAATTTGAGTTTACTTTAATTTTCGATGTAATCAGTTTCAACATTTTTTTTTAATTAAATGAACTTATTTGGTTTTATTAAATTAAACTTTATAAATGACACGTGAATGAAAAGCTTTGGCGACCAGCAGTGGGGGTCCCGACCCCCAGGTTGGGAACCACTGACCTGTACTGCAACCAGCCCCCAGGGGGATCAGATCAGATCAGATTCCTTTATTGATCCCTTTAGGAGAAATTCAAAATTAACACAGCAGCAGAGAGCAATGTAGTGCAGTACAACAGGGAGAATGTAACACAGTGGCCACAGACAACAAACAAACAAACAAACAAACAAACAACGACCCACAAATGCTTGAGCATAAAATACAGGAGCAGCAGCTGGACTCTGTACGGTGGCCTGTAATGCTCACAGACAGGAAGCCACATTTTCACAGTAAAACAAGTAAACAGACAGAAATAAAAAAGGAGCCTTTAAAACGAGGGTTGTTCCGTCTGTTAGAACATAAACGACAACAATAGAAACGTCTTCTGTCCGAGGAATCAGCAGGACAAACAGACGACGTGTGATTCATGATGTTTCTGATTCTTCTGAAGCAATAAAATGTTCCGAAATATTTAGATCTTATAAAGCTGCTACAAGGAACCTTCAGTCTGTGTTGATTCTTGAGTCTGTTAGAAGCAGGAACAATGTGCAGCGTGAGACCAGAACCACATTGTGATGGACGACTGGGTCAGAACATCTCCAAACCTGCAGCTCTTGTGGGGGGTTCCCGGTCTGCAGAGGTCAGTACCTATCAAAAGTGGTCCAAGGAAGGAACCGAACAGAACCAGAGACAGGGTCATGGGGGGCCGAGGCTCATTGATGCATGGGGGAGTGAAGGCTGGCCCGTGTGGTCGATCCAACAGACGAGTTACTGTAGCTCAAACTGCTGACACAGTTAATGCTGGTTCTGAAGAAAGGGTCAGAATGGTTCTGAGGACTTTCTCTCTCTCTCTCCTCTCTCTCTCTCTGTCTTTCTCTCTCTCTCTCTCTCTTCTCTGACAAGTGGCATTCATCCCAGCTCCGCCCACAATTCCTCTCTGTGCAACAATTGTTAGGATGGACGGTGGGGCCCACACAAATGGGGGGCGCAAATTATCCGGGGGGGGGGCATTATACAGGGCCTTATATTCTGATGTAGCGAGTACCATCTGCAACCCCCCAAACATACACCCCCCGAGCCAGTCCGTCACCCTCCACTTCTCTTTGTGTCACTGCTGTTAGAAAGTGATAAAGATGTGTGAGTGTTGGCTGTGTGTGTGTGTGTTGGAGAGAGTGTGTGTGTGGTGTGTGTGATCATCCACTTTTGTACAGGTGGGGTATCAGCAGTTCTTGGGAGATCTTCTTGTATACTAATATTAAAAGTAATAATATATGTTTCCTTAAACACAGACGAGAGGTTAAGCTGAGTTTAGGATCAGTTGTTTCAGGACTTGGAGAGAATTCTGAAAGAAGAAAAAGAATGAAATTTATAAAAGGAAAAAACGTTTTCTTACTGACTTTAACAGAGAGTTTGATACGTTGGTGTGAAGTTGGCGTATTGGTGAGTGTTAAAGCCCTTTTCCCAACAGTTCCCGAACAAGAACTCCCACGAATCCGTCCAGGTTAGAAGGTCGATTCAGACAAATGAGTTTGAAACAGAATCAACACAGAAACCCGACGTCGGGCTGAAATATCTCTGAAGCTGTCATCGTGTATGGAAGCCGTTTCTGCCACATGGATGTGAAAAAAAGATTCTTTAATCTGTGAGAGCAACGTTCCACCTGAGATGACTCCAGAGCCTTCGCACTATTTTAAATGTAGCAGCAATGAACGCCAAGACTTCCCCATCTCGTATGCGGTCTGGCATTTTAGACTTAACACACAGGTAGTAAAAAAATCAACAGATAAGAGGATCGAGCCATCCCTACTGTTTAGATATGAACCCATTTTAAACAACTGAATTCTGTAATCTTTATGATTGGAAACCTTCTCAAATATACCTCTAATTATATTATTCTCAGAGAAAGTTTATCGTCTATAAGAGCTT